CCAGTACCTGCTTGTCTAGGACACACAATGTTCTGAGACAGAGAAGGGAAAATTGTCTTAAGCTCTTTTCAAGTCATTTGGGAAATAAAATGCAAAGTTTCAGGACTAATAGCCATGCTTGGTTTTCTTGCTATATCCCTTAACTTTTATCCCCAACCAAATATGACTAAATAGGTTTGTTCAGGGGCATTTTCAGGGTGGGAAGTAAGAAGGAAGCACAGAAAATTGGTAAGAAATCATCAAAAACACCCCCCGAAAGGCCTAAGGAAACTGAATGATACAACCCAAAGCAACACATATCAGTTCCACTTCATGAGAGCTGAAGAAACCAGGAAAATCAAAACTGTGGACAAAGCACGTATGCTAAGAGGTGAGGAAGTCTTGGTTTTAGGCAAGACACAAATCAGTTGTGTTCCAGAAGGACCTCTCAAATAGATTTCAGCGTTAGATCTCATTCCTGGGTTGAGCACATAGAGTTTCCCAAATGCAACTGGAAGCTATTGACCTAGTGGTAGTGATGGACACATAAACACTATGACCCGAGATGAAAAGTTACAACAGAAATGGTTCTTTACTGGCAAAAATATTCTTGTTTAAGTCAAAGGTACATATATGTCTCTGTGTTTACTAGATATAGGAGAAGCAAGGATTCTAGAAAAAGTATGTAATTCTAGATCTTGCCTTTTTGTGACAGGACAAGCTACTGTGTATGCACACAGCATGGGTGTGATGGCTGTTCTTGGTTGGCAACTTGACTACATCTGGAATTAACTAAACCCCGAGCAGCAGGGTACACCTGTGAGAGTGTATTTTCTTAACTAAATCATTTGAAAGGGGAAGACACACTTCTAATCCAGATCTTTTGAGGTGGGAAGATCCGCCTTTAATCTGGGTCACACCTTCTACTGGCTGCCTGTATAAAGGACATGGAAGAAGGGAACTTTTTCTCCTTGTCTGTTTGCTCTAGCTCTTGCTGCAGGTCCATTCCTTCACTGGATTTAGAGTCTACTTCTTTGAGATTCCAGCGTATACTGAAGACCAACTGAGACATCAAGTATCATGGATTGAACAATTTATGGACTTCTGGGCTTTCCTTTGATAGACAACCATTGTTGGACTAGCTGAACTACAGCCTGTAAGCCACTCTAATAAATCCCATGTATACACACATTCATTCTGTCTTCTCTGTTCCTCTGCAGAACCCTGACTGATACAGCGGACATTGAACTTGCAAGCACATGCAGTTCCTTAAAGGCCGAACAAGGGCTACAAGTGGATTACTATCACTGTACTCAGCTATGGGTATTGAACTAATACTATTTTGCTATGTTTACATAAAACCATGGAAAATAATTACATCTCAAGATAAGATCATAGAAAGCACTAAGATTTTATACTATGGTTTTACAAAATGCATGTTTGGTCATCCAGAGTAACCAGATATTTGGCTTTTGCAGGGAAAAAAAGTTGCTTGTATTTGTCTCGTCTCATTCAGAGACCTTGACATCACATATAGTCTAATATTTTGATTTTAAAGATATGATTATAACCTTCACACTGACAGTCTATGGTGTTCAAAGTTACTTTTGTACACGTAAGATCTGGCATCACATATTGTCAGTTTGAATTTGTGTGTATCACGCCAAATTTGATGCCAGAGTCTTTACAGCATTCTTTCTTCAGTAAGAAAAACCTTTCTGAGGAACTTTCATCCATACATTAGTCATCTTCCAATGCATTTTTCTGATATGGCTGGTCTCAAATCCCTTCAAGATCTAGCTGGCAAAGATCACTCTGTCGTCCTTGGGACATTCTCCTGTTTCCTTTAGGAATTTAACAATACAGATCCTGATGCCATATATAGCTCACTTGGTACCTCCTTCTGTGGTCTGAATGTCTGTACCCCTGAATTAATCCATTTGAAGTGGAATCTCCAAAGCCATGGGCAAACGGCATTGGCAGTGTAGCCTTGTGGAGTGTGATTCGGTCAGCAAAGCTCTGCCTTCATGAATGGATTAATCTGTCTATGGCAGTGCTTCTCAACCCTCCCAATGCTGTGACCTTTTAATACAGTTCCTCATGTTGTGATGACCCCAACCATAAAATTATTTTTGTTGCTACTTCATAGCTTTAATTCTGAAAGAGTTATGAATTATAATGTAAATATCTGATATGCAGGATGATCTTAGGCAACCCCTGTGAATAAAGTCATTAGACCCCCCTCAAAGGGATCTCAACTCGTAGGTTAAGAATTACAGATCTATGAGATAGTGAGTTATGGTTCAAAGGGACTTTGCTAAAGAAGCAAAATAGGCATGCTTGTTCTGTATTCCCTTATAATGCTGCCTGCCTTGTGATGATACAGAAAAAAAAAAACACCAGCATTGTGCGGGTGATCAGAGCTGGGCAATACTATGCTCTTGAGCATTTCAGATTCTAGAACCACCGGACAAATAACTGTTCTGATTAGCTTTACTTGTCAATCTGACATGGTCGAGATTTCCCTGAGAGGATAACCTCAGTTAAGTAATGATCTGAACATGTCTGTAGGGGATTGTCTTGATGGCTATTGATGAAGAATGGCTCAATCCACTGTGTGTGGGGTACCATGAGCTGGCAGGTGGTTCTCAACTGTCCAAGAAAGCTAGCTGATTATAAGTTTGCCTGCAAACCAGTTTGCAAGCAGCATCCACCATGATCTGCTTCTTGACTGTGAACCAAATTCTGTCTGGGATAGCAAACAGGTCTGCCTCAAGTTCCTGTCATGACTTCTCTCAGCAATAGAATGAGATCTGGAATGGTAAGCTAAAATAAATCTTTCTTCCTTCCCTAAGTTGCATTTTGTCAGAGAACTCTGTACAGCTATAGAGAGGAAACTGGTCCACCAACCCTTTACTCTTTATAAATTATCGGGCCTTAGATATTCAGTTACAATGAACAACAGACGATGAACGAAGCTTTTGAACTCGCCTTGGCCCTTCTCTTGACACTTCCAGGAATGGTGGCCTGTTCTTGGAGCTGGCTGACTCAGTCCCAAGGTTCTTCCCCAGCGTTATCTACCTTAGTATCACTCTCTGTGCACTGCCTTGTTCTTTCTTCTTACCAAGCAGCAGTCATGCAGCCATCTTTGTCTCCAAGCATTTCTTACTTCCTCTTCTTTCATGTTTTCTGGGAAATACACCCACATCTTGCAAATTTGTTAACTTGATTTCCTTCTCCCCAGTTTTGTGAAGCCTTGTTTTGGCTGGGAAAATGCTGTCCCTTGTCTCCTTGGGGTGATTCATCAATGGAATGTCCCTGGTTTTCCTTGCTGGACTATGAAAGTCTACTTATGCCCACTGGGAATTTTTGTAACTTCTTGTCAACTCTGAGGCCATAGAAGTGCCAGGCTTATTTCCTCATTTTAATGATCTTGGAACTACTCCCCCCTCCCTGCCTCCAATAACCAAGACTTAGAGTGGATGCCAGGAGAATGATTTCACTTTCTTTTCTCATTCTGTTTGGTAGACAGGGTTTCCTGAAACTCAAGTTGACTTAGAACTCACTATGTCACTTTAGATCTTTGATCTTTCTGGCCCCAGCTCCCAAGGGATTGGATGAGAGGTTTGGGGGTTTTCCTCTTGTTAATGAAGGAATTCATAAATGGACTCAAAAGGGAGGCCAAGGACAATTGAATAGCATTTAAGATAAAAGACAGCTAAGGTTAGTTGAAAATCCCTGTTGCTGCCAGGAGGAGATGGGGTGGATAGAAAGCAGGGAAAGGGCATCCCCAAGAGTGGAAGTGGCTACTGAGCTGAAGAAGGAGCCCCCAAAGCACCCAATCCTGGCTGTATTGTCCTCTATAGTCACCCCCCTCAAACCAGTCCCCTTCCTGGCCTTCGTTTCACTCATGCTCTGATTTGATGATGTCAGGGAAAGGAGAGGTACACCCTGTCTTCCTCTGCAAACTGGTTTGTTTTGTGCATTAATCTTGATGTCGCCTTTTTTGCTCTCCCACTGGCTAGAAGGACTTCTGACTCTAAATGTGTCTCTTTCTCCACCAAGATTTCCCCATTTCAGACCAATACGTCTCCTGGTGAGGCTTTAGTCTTTCATTTTTCCTCCTCTACCCCACTGCACCCAAAATGTGATAGTTCTTAAAGTTTTAGGAGGCCAGGAAGCTACTTCTCAAAAGTCACACTATCATGTTAATGGTGACTTAGTAGGTTTCCCTGCCAAGATGTCTTTAGAAAACAAACACACACCTTTAAGTGGAAAATGAGTGTAGAGCCTGGGGGAGTTTTATGTGCAGAAGCTTCTAGATGAGGAGTAAGTGAGAGGCTTAGACTTTTCTAGTTTCTCTCAGCATCCTGGATTTAGACCTGTATTTCCTTTACTGGGCATGTGCAACACTTCATTGTTCTCTCTGTGGCAAGAGAGAGGTCACCTGCCTTCAGCCCTGTCACTGTAGACAGTCCTGCAGAATTACCCAGAGCGTGGCTACCGTTGGACACAACCTCTACCTTTCCCAGGACCTGGATGTTCTATAGAAATAATTCTTGAAAGATTAGATTAGAGAGAATGACGTCATTGAGGAGATGTCTTCAGCTCTTTTCACGAGCTCACAGCTGGAGGGTTGTTGGCCCTAGGAGGGTGGGAAAGCTACTATCACTGTTTTGCTAACTGTGTATGTCAATCATGTTGTCAGACTTCCTTCTGAATGTTTATGCTGGTGCCCATAGAGCTGGGCTGCTCTCTGTCTCGGAGAAGTTTCTATTTGCAGCAAGCAGCAGTCAATGCAGAGACTCAGCTGGTCAGAGTCCTGTGAATAAGTGACTGCGAGTGCTCAGCCCTAAATGGGACATCTATGTTCCATTTATGTTAACATTCCTACCCTGCACTTAGGAGATGTCACAAAGAATATGACGCCTACAGGGCGGGCCATAGTGCTGTGAGAAGCTGTCTTTAACACATGACATGGCCATTGCACCCATGAATTCATAATAGCTTTGGATACTTACAGATCTGGATGAGATTAAGCCAGTCAGCATTCCAGTGTGAATGTGGGAGAGGCTCAAGAGGTCCTACCTTGTACTGGTAGCCGTTGGTGTCTGCTAGAATAAAAGTGGGGCCAAGAATTAGGGAGGCTGGGGAAGGTGTATGCCCATTCTCTGGTGAATGGTCCCACATCTGTGCACACATGAGCACAATAATTGGATCCAGTGAGTGAGTGAATATGTGTGGTGTATGTGGTGTGTGGTGTATGTGGTGTGTGGTGTATGTGGTGTGTGGTGTGGTGTGGTATGGTGTGGTGTGTGTGTGTGTGTGTGTATGTGAAAAGGACATGAAGTTGAGAGGGGGACCTGTTAGAGAGGAAAATGTATTGGAGAAGGGTCTGGGGGAGTTGGAAAAAAGAAATGCGGATAGATAGGATTTAAATACATTGCACATATGGATGAAATTTTCAAAGAATTAATACCATGGGAAAAGTGGGAAGCGCATCGGGAAAAATATCATTCTCAGGAGCCAGAGGACAGTCTGAGTTCACCCATCTTGTGGTTTTTCATACAGGCTTAAGAACAACCTTGACTGTTCAGTGATTTAGCAAGATTTTACTGGACATGAAACTTTTTTTAAATTTATTCATTTATTAAAAATTTCCACCTCTTCCCATTTCCCTCCCACTCCCCCCTCCCACCCCCTCCCTCTCCAGTTCTAAGAGAAGTCAGGGTACCCTGCCCTGTGGGAAGTCCAAGGCCCTCCTCCCTCCATCCAGGTCTTAGAAGTTGTACATCCAAACAGACTAGGCTCCCAAGAAGCCAATACATGCAGTAGAATCAAAACCCAGTATCATTATCATTGGCTTCTCAGTCTGCCCTCATTGTCAGCCACATTCAGAGAGTCCGGTTTGATCACATGCTCCTTCAGTCCCAGTCCAACTGGCCTTGGTGAGCTCCCATTAGATCAGTTCCACCGTCTCCATGGGTGGACGCACCCCTCACGGTCCTGACTTCCTTGCTCATGTTCTCCCTCCTTCTGCTCTTCATGTGGGCCTTGGGAGCTAAGTCCAGTCTCCAATGTGTGTCTCTGTCTCTATCTCCATCCATCGCCAGATGAAGGTTCTATAATGATATGTAAGATATTCATCAGAACATAGGATAGGGCCAGTTCAGGCACCCTCTCCTTTGCTACCCAAGGACCTAGCTGGGGACATCTCCTTGGACACCTGGGAACCCCTCTAGAGTCAAGTCTTTTGCCAATGCTAAAATTTCACCCTTAATTAAGATATCTTCTTCCCTGCTCCCATATCCACCTTTCCTCCATCTCAACCATCCCATTCCCCCAAGACATGGAACTTTTTTTATTGATTTTATTGAGCTCTACATTTTCTCTGCTCCTCTCTCTTCCTCTCCCTTCCCCTTCAATCCTCTCCCATGGTCCCAATGCTCCCAATTTACTCAGGAAATCTTGTCTTTTTCTACTTTCCATGTATATTAGATCCATGTAAGTCTCTCTTAGGGTCCTCGTTTTTGTCTAGGTTCTCTGGGATTATGATTTGTAGGTTGGTTTTCTTCGTTTTGTGTCTAATAATCACTTATGAGAGAGTACATATGATATTTGTCTTTCTGAGTCTAGTTTACCTCACTCAATATGATGTTTTCTAGATCCATCCATTTGCCTGCAAATTTCAAGATGCCATTATCTTTTTTCTACTGTGTAGTACTCCATTGTGTAAATGTACCACATTTTCCTTATCCATTCTTCAGTCTAGGGACATTTAGGTTGTTTCCATGTTCTAGCTATGGCAAACAATGCTACTATGAACATAGCTGAGCACATGTCCTTGTGGCATGATTGAGCATCCTTTGGGTATATACCCAAAGGTGGTATTACTGGATTTTGAGGAAGGTTGTTTACTAATTTTCTGAGAAATTGCCATACTGATATCCAAAGGGATTGTACCAGCTTGCACTCCCACCAGCAATGCAGGAGTGTTCCTTTTATCCCATGTCCTTTCCAGCATAAGTTTTCATCAGTATTTTCGGTCTTGGCCATTCTTACAGGTGTAAGGTGGAATCTCAGAGTTGTTTTGATTTGCATTTCTCTGATTGCTAAGGATGTTGAGCATTTCTTCAAGTGTCTTTCAGCCATTTTAGATTCCTCTGTTGAGAGTTCTCTGTTTAGGTCTGTATTCCACTTTTTTATTAGATTATTTCTTCTTTTGATGGCCAATTTTTTGAGTTCTTTGTCTGTTTTGGAGATTAGACCTCTGTCTGATGTGGGATTGGTGAAGATCTTTTTCCATTCTGTAGGCTGCGGTTTTGTCTTGTTGACCACGTCCTTTGCTTTACAGAAGATTTTCAGTTTCAGGAGGTCCCATTTATTAATTGTTACTCTCGGTGTCTGTGCTGCTGGGGTTATATTTAGGAAGTGGTCTCTTGTGCCAATGCATTCAAGTGTACTTCCCACTTTCTTTTCTATGAGGTTCAGTGTGGCTGGCTTTATGTTGAGGTCTTTGATCCACTTGAACTTAAGTTTTGTGCATGGTGAAAGCTATAGATCTGTTTTCATTCTTCTACATGTTGATATCCAGTTATGTATATGGAACTTTTCCTGAACTCCTTTAACTCATGAATTCTGGCATAGCAGAAAAACTTAGTGTCCAGTGGTAGGTACACACTCCATGGCTTAGTGAGATATGGGAAGATGACTAATTAATAGAAATAAATATATCTTAAACGTCATCTTTTACAAATAATTCTCTAGATGCTTCGTATTGTCCATAATCTATTTTGTCTGTAGCACAGTTGTATAGCTTATCATTGGGTCTGTGAACACTTTACATTGTAACCTGCTAAGAAGATGGACTCAAGGCAAATGACTCTGGAATTGGCCTCCGCTGAGAGTTCTGTTCAGTCCAGGAGCTATAACAAGTACTTTAAACACCTGAGAGGAATTTCCCTTTCATTGTCTTCAAGGCACAAAAGGAAAAGGAAAAGAGAATATTGAAGCATAAAAGACCACTGTTCCTCTCTCACATTACAGGTTCGAAAGATTTTGCCTTGCCAGTAAGTAATCTGTCCTAAGATATCTGTGCAATCCTATGTCTCCGACTGCAGAACGGCTTCTTGTTCAGACATTTTCTAAGGGCATCAAAGGGCAACCAGAAAACTATGATGTAAGCCGCATTTGTGGCAGGTTTTTTAGCCACAGAGGAGAAAGCTAGTACAGAATTATTTTCTAAAGCCACAAGACAAAGTGTGATCATAGTGTCCACATGTCCTTCCATTATAGAAGGAGAGGGTGGCACTAATCCACTGAAGCCCTTCCTTTGATGTGTACTGATCTTTTCTTTAAGGAGGCTGTCGCTTACACAGGTAGGGATTAGCATGTCGCCTGCCAGGACAAGCCCAGAGGCAGCATGACTTAGTGTTTGCTGATCGATGACTCTTTAGAGTTCTGAGAACTCAAACTCTGTAAGAGTGACTCTGGAAGTTGAGCTGTGTGCCTCTGCCCTGGATTCTGCCACGCAGTAGAGAACTGTGACTTCTTCTTTCTCTGTGACTCTACATCCCCAAGGCTTATTTGCTTTTCCTCAGCCTTGAATGCCCAGAATCAAGCTGTTGGCAAATCGCCCTTCACACCCCAGCTTTTCAGCCTTGTCTCTCATTCTTGCTCCTTCCCTTCAGCATCCAGGAACAACAGTGTAATGATTCATCAGCCCCACTTCCTGCAAGTCATCATTTTCCCACGGTGAGTGACGGTTTACTCTGGGGGAAGGAGGAAGAATGTTGACTGGATTTTTTTTCCCCTGCTGACAGAGAACTAACTTGAAATACTTTGTCTCCGTCTCCACGGTTGTCTCAAACAGCAAGGTTAAAAGTATTTTAATTTGTGAAACCGAGACTCCTGAAGTCCATGTTATCTCTAGAGAACGAGAATATGATAAACCCAATGCATGTTTTGTTTAACAATTTTAATGGCAATTTTTAAAATTTCCTTCTTTAATTTGACATGGGATGCCTGCTTGTGCATTACAGAAGCCAAGGGGCTGGAAAGGCCCTCACTGTAGCCCCATCCTACAGCTGAGAAAACTGAGGCCAAAGAACTTACATGATTTGTCTATTTCTACAGAGCTCTTCAGTGACAGATAAGTTAGGGCAGGGATCAGCTAATTTTGACTATAATCTTCCCCAACTTGTAGATGATAAACAGACTGAAGCTTATATGGACCAGGAAGGAATCCCATGGCTAGTGGCGTGGGCTGGTGGGAGTCGGTGACTGGTGTCTGATGGGACTGAGTGTGACTGACCCTGGGAGGGAGTGTGCTGCCTTCTGAGTTTTCTCTGAGAGCACGTCTTCGTTTTTAGAGAGGAGAATGAGGAAATCTTGTCTATTTCATCATATGTGTTGTAAGGACAGGTGAGAAGGCGCTCAGCGGGCAAGCACACAGTAGGTGGTCGATAACAGTTTTAATTAATACAGGTGACTCGGTAGCACGCTCCCTGGCTCTCTGGTCCTTACTTTCACCGGTTTCTGTTCAGCGAGACTGTCTTGTCCGGAGGGCTTTGTCAGACTGAGTTTCCTTTGAAATTTGCATCTGAGTTGTCTCATTTCCCTGAAGGCCTGTCACACGCTCCGAGGTTGCTACAGAGCAAGATCTGAAACCTCCGGCCAGGGAAGTCCCATGGAGAAGCACTGCCTTCTCTTGTGGAGTCTATCTTTCCCAGAGAGCTGCCTCTCTGGGATGGTGGCTTGCAGGCTGTTGATGTCAGACCTAAGCAGTGCAAAGCGGGGTGGTGAGCAGGCTGGGGGTGGAGTTGGCTCTGCTCCTGACCCCATAACCTTTCAGCACCTCTTCAGATGCGCTTTCCCTTTCACCTTCCTCCCTTAGCAGTGGAAATTTAGAGGGTTCTGTGGTTCTTAGGAGACCCCGGGACTGTACATTCTGTGTCCTCACTTCCTCTACACATCACAGGGGTTTCCTAAGGCAGGTTCATTGTCCAGCACTACCACTGGTTCCCTCCCCTGCAATGGGGGAATTGCCACATAGATGCACGCTTCTTCAAATTCTCTTTTAAAGTCTCATTTGCATAAATATGTATCTGGTGTTTA